TACCCACGTAAATTAGGACACGATAGGGATCTGCTTTCTTTGATGATCAAGTCAAATATGTCCACGACGGTTTCTCCGGCTCAGCGATTGTCAAAGGAGCAAATCCTGAACCAGATCCCAACGTTCCTGATCGCAGGTATGTATCTGAAATATGAACGGCGATTTCCGTTTGACACTCGGATTAAGGACATGAGACGACTTCAACGGCAACTAGTTGGTGCTTGTTTGCGCTCTCCCAGCATCCAGACGTCCAGTCCCGCTTACGTCAAGAACTTCTCGAGGCATTCCCCGTGGACAATACTCCTGAGGTAACTGTCGAAGCCTTGAATGCATTGCCCTATTTTGAGGCAGTGGTAAGGGAGACGCTACGGTTCTACCCCCCTGTAGAGTTTACTGCTCGTGTGGCAGAACACGACGACGTGATTCCTGTCGCAAAGCCATTCGAAGGAGCTGATGGTGTAATGAGGGACCATATCCAGTAAATCACTTCATGCAAATATCCTGGGCTGTCATGAATCTAATCACTACACAGGATCAAAAAGGGTGACCAATTCATGCTCCCAATCACACTCATGAACCGAATGAAAGAAGTCTGGGGACCTGACGGGGACCAATACAAGTAAGTATTCAGCACTTTTATACTGGATATTTTCTCATTTTGTATGCATTACAGCCCGAATAGGTGGCTCAATGAGCTTCCTCCAAGTGTCCTTGCTGCGCCAGGCGTGTGGGCGAACCTTATGACCTTCATTGCTGGACAACGGTCTTGCATTGGATTCAAATTTGCTCTCTTAGAGTAAGATGTTCGACAATTAAGTGCATAATCAACCGCTGACACACGTTAAAACCCATTAGAATGAAAGCTCTGCTCTATCATCTCATTCGCTCTTTCGAATTCGAGCTTGCTGTGAGGCCGGAGGATGTTAGTAAAAAGGAACTGTAAGTGGAATTTATCATCTAAGAGAAAATTTATCGTCGCCATACATCTGGTACTAATTTACACACATCATAGGATTGTGACGAGACCATTTCTTCGTTATGAGGAGGACAAAGGCCCACAACTTCCAATGATAATCAAACCAATCTCGACGGCTTGATGTTGAACATTTAACTGAAGAAAACTGTACATAACATGAAAGGGAATTGATGAATGCTGATGAAACGATAGGCTAGCACTTTATAAATGAATGGTGTTTGCTTAAACCTAAAGAATGATACATCCCCGTCCTGGTCTTGAATACCGCCAACTGCGTGGTCGGTCAATGCTCTCTGAAATCGTTGTAGGGTTTTTCTATCCAAGCGAATGAGTAAATGCAATGACAGCAGAAGCAGGGAGTGCACCTCTTTTTCGACCCTGATAAGTCTAACAAGTTTTTCAACAGCTGGATCTATGTTCACTCCCAATTTAGCAGAGGTATCGAAATGGGGAATTTGCATTTTGGTAGCGAATTCTCGGCTCTCTTCGGAGGTATGATCAGACGTGTTACAGTTTATGTGAAAGGACTGACCAGCGCTTAGGACTTGCCTATCATGCTCCATGTCGCTCTTAGTCGCGATCATGACCATGGGGAAACGCTCGTTTCTCGTTGCACGAGCAACATCTTGGACCCATTTGTCCAGGTTATCGAATGTCAGTCTATCGGTGATCGAATACGCTAAAAGGATGCCGTCCACCATCTGTAAATCTCTAAAGTACAGCTGCCTACAGTAAGACGTCGATAAATTATGAAATGGGGTTATACCTGTAGAAATGAATACGTACTCCCAAAAGTCAGGATACGGGACTGGATCTAGCAATTCAAGAAAAATAGGCTGATCGTCGATAATGCATTGCCTACGATAGGTGTCGTCTATTATCTATCTCAGGCCATGCATGAATCAGGTGTGTTCAAAGCATGGGAATTTCAGTTTACCGGGTCATCCCTATGGCGCAGGGTATTTGATGATCAGCCACGTGACTGGATAAGAGGTCCTCACTCTTCTACCTAATGCACATAGAAGAATGTTACTTTCGATGGCTGATAGAAATAAAGTATGTCTCACAAAGTATTGCATAGTAAAACGGATAACCAATGAAGTCTTTCCAGCGCCTATTTATACAAGGATTAAGGGTTGCTAAAAAAGAACCACCAAAGACTTCAAGACTTACGAGAGTCACCAATAACCATAATCCTGTAAAGTTGCATCTTTGAGCCCTATGGAAAGAGGTCCAAGGGAAGAGCATCATCAATACACTTAGAGCCAAGAAGTGAAGGAGCAAGGACCAAGCCTGAGAATCCACTATACCTTGCGGGCCTTACGGCTCAAATTTTTCATGTTTGCAAGGCCGAAGTCAGGACTGTACAAGAATCGGGTCGAAAGCAACTAAGCCAGAAAATTAATCACCGCCACTACCACTGGTCGATAAGGACCCGAATGGTCAAATATTCTTCGATACGCTGAAAGATTACTTTTCATACAATATACATATTGTTTCAAGTAGAGGAACAGCATCGCATCTCGAGGAGTTTGATAACCGCGGGGCGCGGAAATGGAGGACGTTTTCAAGTAAAGGAAGAGGCAGGATGTATGACCTTCATTACTGGGCAACGGTCTTGCATTGAATTCAAATTTGCTCTCTTGGAGTAAGATTTTTGACCATTCAGTGAGTGATCAACGCTAACACACATCAAAACCCCTTAGGATGAAAGCTTTACTCTATCATCTCATTCGCTCTTTCGAATTCGAACTTGCTGTAAGGCCAGAGGATGTCACTAAAAAGGAACTGTACGTGGAATTTACCCTCTAAGAAGAATTCTATTGTTGCCGTACATCTGGTATTGATTTACACATATCGTAAGATCATGACGGGACCATTTCTTCGTTACGAGGAGGAGAAAGGCCCACAGCTTCCAATGATCATCAAACCAATCTCGACGGCCCTGATTCTGAGTACTCAAATGAAATAAACTTGTACATAACATGAAAGGGAATTGAGGAATGCTGATAAAACGATCAGTTAGAAATTTATAATTAAATGCTGATTGGTTAGACCTAAAGAATGATACATCCACGTCCAGGTCTTGAATAGCACTGACTCTGCTTTACATTGGCGCCCTCTGGAATGGTTGTAGAGTTCCTCTATTCGAAGGAGTAAGCAAACGGACTGAAGTCCAAGCACGATCTTGCACCTTTTTATCGATCTTGATCACTTCTTTATCGATCCTGATAAGTCTGACAAGTCTTTCGATGGCCGGTACTACATTCACTCCCAATTTAGCAGAGGTATCGAAATGCGGAATTTGCATCTTAATCGCAAATTCTTGGCCCTCTTTAAGGTATAATCAGACATGTAACCGTTTCGTGTGAAAGAGCTGACCAGCGCTTGGGACTTGCCTATCTTCCTCCATGTCGCAGTTTGTCGCGACCATGACCATGGGGAGATACTTGTTTTTCCTTGCACGAGCAACTTCTTGGACCCATTTGTCCAGGTTATCGAACGTCCGTCTATCGGTAATCGAATATGCCAACAGGATGCCGTCCATCATTTGTAATTGTCTAGAGT